ATAGGATATGACTCAGCAATAGGATATGACTCAGCAATAGGATATGACCTCTCAGCAATTGGATATGACTCGGCAATAGGATATGATTCGGCAATAGGATATGACCTCTTGATCCAAGGACCTTCTGGTTTAATCAACCTCTTGGCAACAGGAATGGCATTGATATTGGAAAGCGTAGCCAATAAAATGGACGCAAAAATAAAAATTCGGGCCATAGTTAGAGTTTCTTTATGAATGTAGTTATTAGAGTCTCTAAGTTTTCTAATTATCAAAATTTTTCGATAACTTGGTTTCAGAAGCATCATTTTATAAGAAAAAAAAAACGTATTCACCATTTCTCCTGATTTCAATCAATCAAATAATTTTTTTTTTTAAAAAAAAAGACTCATATAATCATATATTATATGCAAGTCCATATTTGGTATTCTATTCTGAAAATTTGGCTGATTAACCGTTTACAGTTAATGTGATTTCAATTTTTTTACCAATTGTAGATTCGGTAATTATAATAAAAGGAGTAAAGGAGTAAAGTATGCAATCTCGGACGAAAAATGATTTCTGGTAAATGCGGATATAACAATGTTTCCTACAATTATGCTGATTGATATATTGGGTTGGATTATCTGTAAACTTTCCCATTGTTTTACGTTTATTATTTCGTGACTTACCCATTATAGTATATTTATTTATCAAATAATTCTTATTTATTTACAATTCATCAATTATAATAGATAAGATTTTTCTTATATCTTTCAGAATAGTGTGATATCACAATATCCAAAAACCATAGGTTGCTTTTAAAAAAAAATGATGCAACGCAACAATTTATAAGATTAGATTTGTAAGATTCATATTTACTTTTTTTTTTTAAAAAAAAAAAAAAAATATTAAATCTTTAATATTAATATAAGCTACTTATACTGTTTTTTTGGAACAATTATCATTTTTTTTTTAATTCTTGTATGAGAATCATATAAATGAATTTGTAAATTTATTTATTTTATTACAAATACAGTGTATTATGTCTTAACTTGAAAAAAATTTCAGGTTAACTTTGAAGATATCTATTTTTGAAAAAATATATTTTCAAAAAAAAAAATTCCTCATAAAATTGATTAGCTTAAGTCAATCTTAAGTGTCAAAATTTTGATTGGTTCTTTTTTAAAAAGTTATACCTTACTAATAGCCTTATAATAATAAAAATAATAAAATTGAAACATAATTTTTATCAAAGTTACTCAATAAATTTACTTTCTTGACAATATGTTTAATGTAATCTAAAATTTTTACATTCCACGGAAATCATGAAGTAAAAAAAAAATACAAATCACATTATAAAATTTCTGATGATGTCATTTTAGAAATTGAATAATTAGAGCAGGAATTAAAATTTTATTTTTAAAAAATTTACTATTAAGTGTAAATAATTAATAGCCATTATTTCATTAATTTTTTATTAAAATTAATCATTCGTGTGATTAATCATTTGATATATAAAATGAAATTTTTGATCATAACCCAATCCCATTGTTTATTAACTTATCCAATAATAAATAATACCAAAATCACCTTTTTACGATTTGTCCATTTATTAAAATCAATATTATACTAAGTAAGGTAAAGTTATTATTATTTTTTTTTAAAGAAGACAACAAATTTGTATATATTACATGAAAAATGCCATATAGAATTGAGTAACAATCCCTGTGAATTTTTTTTGAGGAATAACTTTTTGAGATATTCGAATAAAATAATCATGTCATTCATTAATAAATCAATTCATGCCAAAAGAAGATTTTTGTCAAGAAGTTTTTATGAGATACACAATGCAATTTCTCTAATAGAAACCTCTTCCTGCTAAATTTTCAAAAAAGAAATTTTTTTTAAAAAAAATGGCTTTGATTTTTGAACAAGTTATCTCAAGACTTTTCTGAACTTCTTAATGATAAAGTCATTTATTGAAGTTGGCCAAGAACAAATAAAAAATCTTCATTGCGCATTCCGCTGTCTTAACAAACAATGTTACTAATGACGATGACAATAATAAAAAAAAACTATTACTAAACCAAATATTATTTCTGAAACATTCGAAATTATTCTTTCTTATTTTATTTATTTTTAAATATTAATTAAATTAAAAATAATTGATATGTTAATTTTTATAATTTCATATACAGATATATTTTATGGTAATTATTAATACGGAAAATATCAATACTAGAACTTTGATGATTGTTGCCAATGAGTTAAAGTTTGAGGAAGGAATTAGAAAATCCAATGCTTCTCATTTGTCAATTTTTAAAAAAAATAATGTATTTTAAAATTTAAAAAAAATTATTTTGAATCTTCAGAATTTACTTCTCTTTACAAATCTGATTTAATATTTATTTTAAAAAGAGATGAAATACAAATGAAAGAATCAGAAATAAATTTGGGTATATGTAATTAAATCCATATTTCGGATTTAGTGTATTCAATCTTTTATTATGGATTATGAAGTATTTAAGTTGTTAAAAAATTCCCACAAAACTCTTTAATAATTCTCAATACACAAATATAATGATTCATATCTTTCTAATTATAAAATAATAGATTAAAAAAAAAAATTATTATTATTTCATATATAATAAAGAATTGGCTCATAAATAAAATAAATTCAAATTATTAAAATGATTTATTATTAACGTCATCCGTGATTTTTTATTGATTTTCTGAGCTTATTGAATTAGTCAAAAATTGCCAATCAGTTTTAATTTTGGTTTTGATTTTGTTAATCTATAAATTAAATACTTTTTTTAATCAAATCATTTTCTCTTACATTTAGAAAATTTCAAAAAATTTATAAAATTTATAATTTGATTCTTCTTCAAAACTTTTTTTCGTTTAATTCTCCAAAATAATTCGAGAATATGTCTATCCCTCAAGGTTTGTGGATATGTTTCAGTTTCGAATCTGGTCAAATGTACCAATGTACTAACGATTAGAAATAATTATTATTTCATATTCAGATGTTATTATATCCGTAACTTCAGAAACCTCCGGTTTGTCTCAGCAAATAAACATCAATTATCTAATTTAACTATCTATTAAACTTGTATTTAAATAATATCGCTTTAGAAAAAGGCAAGCAAGCTGAAACAAAAGAAACAGAAGGAGCAGAAGAACCGCTGGTTTTGCCAAATAATTTGGAAAAGATTCTTAATGATTTAAGCCAAGAGCAACGACTATTTTATGATGAATTACCTAAGAAATCAAAACCTCGATTTTTTGGTGACGATTTCAGAAGAAAAGAAAAAATCTTCAGAAGCGGTTTCAGAAGCGGTTTCAAAAGCAGTTTCAGTAGCAGTTTCCGCAGAAAAGAAAAAAGGGGTATGTATTTTATGTTGAGTTAAATAATATGAATATGTTTCTCACTAATGTTCACATGTTTATTAATGTGTTATTAGCTTTTACGCCGATATTTTATTAAATAATTTAAATAATTAGGATTTCATTGTCGATTTAATCGTTTTAACTATCATCACGCTTTCTACTCTCGCGATTAGCATTTTTAATAAAATATATGCGGAAAATGAAGATCTTACAAATAAATTTGCAATTTTATTAAATTCAATCGTCTATGGTGTTCAGACACTAATTATTTTAATTGAAGTTTATTTTTTTTATAGAAATGATAATTACTTTATAGTTTTTCTAATTATGTTTCCACCATTAGTAGGATTATTATTAGCAATTTTTTTGGGATTATTTTTAATCCCACCGATTGTTACAATTCTTTGGGTAGCAGTCGGAATATTATATTCAGGCGCTTTTATTAAAAGATATGTACCATAAAATAAATAAAATTAATGCAATTAAAAAAAAAAACTGCTTTCTTATGTCCGCATAAAATAAATTATCTAATTGTTTACCCTAATAAAAATTCCGTCCTAGTAAAAAAAAAAAAGTTAACTATGATGGGTTCTTTATATTTTTTGATATTTATTTGCCATTTGCGATAACTGAAAAAGTTAACTTACCAATGTACACGTGGCAGGATTTCTAATAAACTTGTATCCTTATCAATAACAACTACAGCTTCCCTATTTCTAAGAATATAAGAAGGCCATAATTTTGGATATAAAATATAAATATCTACTCATGATGTGAGTTTTTTTTTTATAATATCTTCTTCGGAATTAATTTTCATTTTGAACTTTTTTCACATGGATAATATATAATCCGAATTATCATTTCTGTAAGAAAAAAAATCAAAATTCTCAATCACAAAATAATTTCTTTCATGAGAAGAAAACATGGGAAATTTTTCAAGAATGAAAAGCAAGGATAGCAAAAAAATAAATAATTGGGGTATCAAACATGGAGGTATCGACTCTTTATATCTCACTTGTACGATCTGGCCTATGATAATGGAAAGGTACGATCTCAAAAACTGGAATACAATGAAGAAATTGCGCAATGAAGTAAATGCCTATCTTAGATTAAAAAAAAACAGGTCAACTTATCTTAAAATGGCATACTATTTCCAGTATACTTCATTGGCAAGAAGAAATATTTTGAAGTTCTACATGAAAGAGGTAAATTTTGAACCAAAAGAATTTTTCATAAAAGAATTGATGCCATAAAGCATAAATATCTACTGATATCTATTATTCGGAATGATTAATTTCATTTTGAACTTTTTCCACTTAGATAATACGTATACCGTCAGAATTATCATGTCTACTACGGAAAACCAAAATTCTCAACTGCAAAACAATAATAAGTTGAAGTTACTATGGAGGGTGAGTGAGCTTTTTCTTTCATAAGGAGCAAACATGAGAAAATGTTCAAGAAAGGAAAACAAGGATAACAAAAAAATAATAAATAATGGGAGGGTATCAAATATGAAGACACAGACTCATTTGTCCTTAATATTATTATAAGAAATATGATCTGTCCTATAAGAGGTATAATAAATGTCTATCTTAGATTAAAAAGCAGGTAGACCTATCATAAAATGGTATACGAAGAGTATTCTCTTCTTTTATGTTGAATTCATTTATTATTTTTTTTAATTCATCATTTTCTATATACAATAGATTTTCCACAGGTACTATTTCCAGTATGCTACGTCGGTAAAAAGAATATTTCAAAGTTCCGCATGAAAGAGAGGTAAATTTTGAACCGCAATCCCAAGTTTTCAAAATTATCGGTATATGGATTATGAGAAAGACTATGGAAGTTGATAAAAAGGACTTGGTTCACACAATTGTTGAAGATGTTATTAGAGAGGCTATATCGGATCCTAAACAATTATAATATGACCAATTTATTAAACCGATACGTGAAAGCCTAATGCACAAACCAACGTATTCACCATTTTACAAGAATAAGATACCTGACCCAGGCGAACGCTTTACTTATGTAGTAATCAAGGCAGATATGGATTTTGATTTATGCCCAACCACGGGAGACCAGATGGAAATTTGTTGACATAGAAAAAGAGCTAGACTTATCATTGGCCTTTATACCTGATTTACGATGTACGATGAGAGATACGAACCACCCTTTCATGAGATTATGCAACTCAAGATTCAGATGAAAAATATAAGCAAATCGATAAATATTTTCAAGACAAGGCTCGAGAAATATATAAACGGGTTAATGATGGTACTCCCAAAATGATACTTGAACGTAAGATAAATTAGTATGTCAAATGATCTAAGGGAATCATGTTATGCATTATTACAAATTATTTTATTTAAATCACACATTAACTCCAAATAGACCATCGCTGAAGATTTTTGAAGCAATCAATATTTGATTAAAAATTTTAATTCGTAATTCTCCAAATTGTGGTGGTGGAATCCCATTTCATGTATCAAGGTCCTTAAAACCAATTGTAACATAAATAATTTTATTTCTTATTTACTCTGTTTCTTATCAATATCTGGACGTGTTATTAAAGAATAATTAATTTCTTAAAGTGAAAATAAATTACCTAAGTTATGAAAGAATTTTTTTTATATTAATGTTTGCATTGAAATTTTATTTAATCTTTAAGTTTGTATTTATAAGATTTTAAAAAATAATTCAATCAAAGTTAGTAAACATACAAATTCTTATTTTAATATGTAAATTTTTAACATACTTTACGTAATTGAAATAGTGAAATATAAGTAATCATCATTATAAGTAAGAAATTAGATGAAATTTGTATTAATGAATATAGACAACTAAAGTTCAAAATATTTTACTCTATTAAATTAATATTCTTGTTTCAAATTTCATTGAAAAATATTAAAGTAACGATAATAATTATCATATAAATATCAAAAAAAAATATACTAGTTAACATTAAGGCTGGAACTTGAGGTATTAGTTGATGAAAGCAATCCTTTTTTTCGGGATCCGGGAATTCACCTTCACATTTTGTGTTAAAGCTCTAAAACGTCTTTATCATGGCGTCCAGCCCAATATCTCATTTCTGAACTTTTATCAGTGATTCCTAGTACAACAATTGCAATGACATCAGGCTTGTGAAGGTTTTGAATATATTACTTCATTTATAAAGATTTTCTGCTTTTTCAATTTCTACTTGTTTTTTCTTACGCAGAATATCACTTCTTAATTGACACATTCCAAGTATCTTATCATGCTACAATATAAAAAAAAAAAAATAATAAATATAGTTAAATATAAATTTAATTCTATATATTCAATTTTTTTTAAAAATATATTTAAATAAAGTCTATTTCGCTGTTTTGAATGTAAAAATCCCATAGATGACCAAAGTCTTTTTACAGAAGCTGAATCCCGAAAATCCATAAAATTTTCATTAAATTGATTAAATGTTTGTAAATCAAAAGGAAATTTCTCACGTTGGTATGAAAGATATTCATGTAGTGGTGGTGAATTAAACCAAACTTGATAATAGTAATTAATCCATTGACCAAAATAAGTATATGAAAGATTTGATATAATTTTTAAAATGTTAAGGTGGTCAACACGTTTATGGATGGGTTGTAGCACCTTATTATTCTGGCCCTTTATATTATGATTCCTTTGAAAAAAGGAATTAAAGTTGGTAAGTTTTTTTTTTTTTTTTTTAATAAAAATAAATAAATAAATAAATAATAATAATAATAATAATTACAGTGACAGGATACCCTAAATCCTAAAACCATTCACTCAGAAAAAAATAAATAAATTATTTTTTTCGCGTGATTAATAAATAAATAAATGCGGAAAATCGGAAAAAAATAACAGATAATTTTAGAAGTGATATACTGTACGTATTGTCAAACAAATTTCTTTTAAATGAATTTCGTATGACATGACATCTTTTTTAATGTATAGATCTTACTAATTTACTATTGTTTTTCGAAATGTAAACTCAATAACACTTTACGTATTTTGTGTAATGAGATAAAATAAGTGGTTTTTTTTGCATACTAAAAACAATTTGTAATTTTAAATGTAATTTATGTTTCTTTTTTTCAAAAAAAAATAAATAAATTTCTACATTTCATTCCATAACAAAAAAAATGTCATCTGATATATGTCAATCAAAAATATAATAAGTGGTGCAAACCATGTAATTCGAAACATTTCCAAAATGATTTTAATAATTGGACGAGTG